ATATACATATATATACACAATTTTTAAAAATATGTTTTTATTGATTTCAGAGAGGAAGAGAGAGATAGAAACATCAGTGATGAGAGAGAATCATTGATCAGCTGCCTCCTGCACACCCCCCACTGGGGATGGAGCCTACAACCTGGGCATGTACCCTGGCTGGGAATCGAACCATGACCTCCTGGGTTCATGGGTTGACCTTCAACCACTGAGCCACACTGGTGGGGCATACACAATTTCTTTATCCATTCATCCATTGATCTGTTGATAGACACTCAGATTATTTCCATAGCTTAGCTATTGTAAATAATGTTGCAATGACTATGCGGTGTACATATATTTTTGAGTTAGTGTTTTCATTTCTTTGGATACTCAGAATTAAGATTCCTGGATCATATGTTCCATTTTTAATGAACCTCCATACTGTTTTTCATAGTGGCTTCACCAATGTACACTCCCACCAGCAGTGCACAAGGGTTCCCTTTTCTCCACATCCTTGCAACACTTATTTCTTATCTTGTTGATAACAGCCATTCTAAGAGGTATGAGGTGATATATCATTGTGGTTTCGATTTGCATTTCCCTAATGATTAATGATGTTGAGAATCTTTTCATGTACCTTCTTTGGGAAAATGTCTATATAGATCTACCCATTTTTTGTTGTTGTTAATCCTCACCAGAAGATATTTTTCCATTGATTTTTAGAGAGAGTGGAAGGGAGGGGAGAGACAGAGAGAGAGAAACATCAATGTGTGAGAGAGACATTGACTGGTTGCCTCCCGCAGTCCACCTGACCAGGGCTAGGGATTGAGCCTGCAACCTAGGTATGTGTCCTTGACTGCAATCGAACCCAGGACCCTTCAGTTGGCAGGCTGACACTCTATCCACTGAGTCAAACCACCTAAGCCTAGATCTGACCTTTTTTTTTTTAGATCTGCCTATTTTTTAATCAGATTGTGGTGGTTGTTTTTTTGTTTTGTTGCTGTTGAGTTGTTTGAGTTCTTTATGTAATTTGGATTTTAATCTCTTCTCAGATATATGATTTATAAATATTTTCTCTCATTGCTTTTTGATTTTATTGATGGTCTCCTTTGCTGTGTAGAAGTTTTATAGTTTGATGTAGTCCCACTTGTTCTTTTTGTGTATGTGTATGGTTTTTATTTATTTGCTTGTTTGTTTGCTGCTTTTGCTTTTGGTGTCATATCCAAAATATTGTAAAGACCAGATGTCAAGGATCTTACTACCTATGTGTTTTTTTTTTCTAGAAACTTTATGGTTTGGGGCCTTACATATAAGCCTTTAATCCATTTTGAATTGACTTTTGTGTATGGTGTAAGATGGTGGTAGAATTTCATTCTTTTGTATGTGGCTGTCCAGTTTTTCCCAACATCATTTTTGAAGGGACTGTCCTTTTGCCATCATATATTCTTGGCTCCTTTGTCATAAATTAATTAACCATATATGTGTGGGTTGATTTCTGGGCTTTTTATTATGTTCCATTGATCTATGTGTCTATATTTATGCAAATATCTCTGGGGATTCTTATTCATTGTAATGAGCCCAGGGCCAGTGTGTGACCCTCAGGGTCAGCGGATCTGGGCTCCCTTCTGCTCTGACAGTGTGTGGTGCTATGTCAGCCTCTCCTCCTTGTGGGGAATGGGCCAGCTGGGAGCGAGTTGCCTTCAATCACCACAGGCCTACCTTCTAGAGGCCCCAGGGGCTTGAGAGGACCAGTGTCTGGGCTGCCTGTGACTAGGGCAAGCAGAGGTCAGAAGTCAAAACACTGATACTCCCGCCCTTCCCAGCTGGTCCTGTGCAAAGGCCTGCAGCAATTTCCACAGAATAAAAATTTCTCACTCCTCCACCCAGCAAACAGGGCTGGACCTAGAGCTGAGGCCTGTAAAACAACAAGCAAAATCTTCCACATTTCTCATGGCTTCAACCCAGACACCTTGTTTGAGCATGGAGTGAGGGCTTCTGCAGGCCCACACAGCTTCTGCAGGTCTAAACAGCAACTTTGGAACTAGAACCCAGGTCTTCCAAGGCCCATCAGCCCCTGGTGCTTTCCACTAAGCATCAATGCCTGCCAACTTGAAATCACATTAAAAATATTTTTTGGCCTTAAAACTTGAATTAATGCCAGAAGCTGGTCCACCCTTGCTGCTTGACACAGTCGCTGCAGGGAAGAAACATCTGCACAGCTTATGTTTCAAGGGACCTGGTGTATATGGCATGTATTTGCTCCCCCTCTTAGCGCTATGTGTTTTAACCAGGACCACCTCCCCGAGAAAGATTGTTTCCCCAGGTGAGGATTTTTCCCTGGAGTTAGTAATTAACAGGACTAAGGAAGAGAATAAATCAGTGAAACCCCCTAGTGTTACAGAAATACCATGTACTACTTATGAAGAACTTGGACTAAGACTGTTGGCAATAAATTTGGGACTTGTTGGGCCCACATCCCCAGGGGTCTGCCCACCAGGGAAAGCACCAAAGCCTATACCCCTGGAGACCCACCGACACAGGGCAGTCACAGGGAAGGCAAGCAGCGAGGCTGGGGGGACCTT